GATATTCTTTAATTTCTCTTCTTCCTTTCCCCTAAATACAGGTAGTTCTGCTATAACGCGATAATTGTGTTCTTGTAAAATATCGTGTTATAGAAAATCGCGTAATAGAAATAACAGGGCTTATGGAGAAAATAGGGTTAGGTGCAGATTACTCCAAATCGAAAAAAAATTTCGTAGTTAGCCTAACACAAAGGATAGCACAGTCTAAATAAATGTTACATTCATATCTAATAATGAAATCATACAGTAAATGTTACACTTTACCTTGAAAAAATATGAATATAACTTGATGGAGGAGAAGGTTAATGTTGAGGTTGAGAAGTCATGCAGACAGGAGTTGAGAGTTGTTATCATCAGTATTATCATCATCAGGTGCAGTTTTGGTTGCATGGGAGGGAAGAAAAAAACGTCTAATTCCAGAAGTGGATGGCTGTGGTTCAGTGTCTTCAGTCTGCTTCTTGGGGGTTGACTTAAAAAAGATGTCTAATGTTTGCTGCTTTGCCGTCTTTCTTCTTTCACAAAGAAGCTGTTCATAAGGTGCCAAAAAAGATTTAACACCACGAACTGCAATCCTGCCCGGGCACTTGCTTCATCGGCACTTGCGGCTTCACCACATAACTTTACATTATGAAAAGCATAGCGGGTCTTAAAACCAGAAAACCATCCACTACTAGCACTAAAGGCAACCACATCATCAGGATTTTCAGCTTTTTTCTTTAGGTCCTCATATATTGACAAGGCTTTCTCTTTAATGGTGAGGAAGCTGGTCCCAGATCGCTTTTTCGTTTGATCTTCTATCCAAACACTTAGAAGCCATTCCATCTCCTCAAGTTCCTTTGGCCGTGATCTTACACTTTTGCTAGCTCTCAAGGTTTTTCCAGCAACACAGCTTGCTTTAATCTTTGCTGCATTGGCTCTAATGGTGTGCAAAGTAGACTCCTTTATTCCCGTTGCACGCACAATATCACATGTTCTTTCCTTATTTTCAAAACGCTTGACAACATCAAGCTTGCCTTCAAGTGTTATAGCCTTTCTTTTACGATCACCACCAGAAATGCGATCACCAGAATGCTTCCCGGAGATATTCTTCTTTTCCATAGTCACAAAATTGGAGAAACAGTAAATCAGAAAGCACTGAGGACGCTTAAAAATTTCTCACGTCTTCCAAAGTGAACGTGTGGAGTAAAGAGAGCGCAGGTCTAAAACGCTACGTATTTTGTTTTTCTCTCTTAGTTAAAATTTTACATTTTACATATAATGTACAGGTATACTGTATACATAAATATTACATAAATTATTTCTGCAATTGTTCACAAACAAAACACATAAATCAATTGAACATGTGATGTCAAACGTGAACTGTAAACACTGCATAACCCCGCGCCAAGCCACAGCACTGTACATACTGTACAGTACACTTTAAACGCTATGTATTTAGTTTTTCTTTTATTTAAATTTTTACAATTTACATATATATATATATATATACCTGTATAAGTAAATTGTAATTTACATATTATTCATATTATGCTACAGCGCCCACAAAACATGAGAAACGTTTGAGTCCCCCAGTAGAGGTGTCCGTTCTCTATCCACTCCAGGATGTCTTAGTCCTCCGTTTTCTTTTTGTGTACTCGCTCAGGGACTCAAGTATTTCTGTATATGACACAGGATGATAAGGGAATTTGAATTTATTTGTTTATTTATTTATATATATAATATACTGTAATATATTAAATATACTGCAAGTATTTTCTTTAATTTATATACGTGTTTCGCGACAAAGGGAGGCTACATTTATGGTGATCGTTAAGGACCAAACTCCGAATCCATGACGTGACTTCTGTTCATTATTTATATCCTAAATTTACCACTGTAGGTAGTTTCAAGAATTAATGCAGTCATTTACTGAATATTCTTTGCAAAAAATAAATTTTAAATGAATTAATTATAGGAGATAAATATATTGATCAGTAAATATACAGATATGCATTACTGACCACCTCCGAACACAAGGACGGCTAAAAATAGCCACAGGCGGTCACAGTCAAGGTCACTTTCCCTTTCTTGTCACTGGCAAATGGGGGTGGGGGGGTGGATGATAATAGCAGCTGTGTTTATTACGGTATGTTAGACTGGTTTATAATACATTTTTATTATTTTAATATACCGGTAATCTTCATTTTAATCCAGCTTCCCAAACGTAAGTTTCAGTATAAAATAATTAGTTGTACTGTAGGACCTTGTGAGTGGTTTACTGTATACATAAATATTACATAAATTATTTCTGCAATTCTTCACAAACAAAACACATAAATCAATTGAATATGTGATGTCGAACGTAAACTGTAAACACTGTGTATGATGTAAAGAGAGCGCGGGTGTAAAACGCTATGTAATTTGATTTTCTCTTTTATGTAAAATTTTACAAATTACTTATAATATATAGGTTTACTGTATACATAAATATTACATACATTATTTCTGCAATTGTTCACAAACAAAACACATAACTCAATTGAACATGTGATGTCGAACGTGAACTGAAGTCACAACAACCGTTCGAGTGGAATCGCGTTAGAGCAAACGAGTTCGCGTTATACAAATATTCTTCCGAATTCATAAATCGCGTTCGATCAAATTCGCGTTATCAAAACACGCGTTATAGCAGAACTCACTGTATCAGTTCCACCTCTGGAAATTCCTCGCGAATTTCTTCTGTAACGATAAGAAGTAGCTGCCCAGCTAGGAAGTTAGATAAAGTTTGGTAGGTTTCTTAGGTTGGTTAGGTCAGGTTCTATTATGTTCTAGTAAATGTCGCCTCTTTTAAAATACTTATTATGATAAATGTAAGTGGAAAAATTGAACGGAATCAAACAACTTCTTCTGGAGGTAGGAGTGTTCTCATACATTAGGCCCTTAAAATATATATATATATATATATACTATACAGTGACCCCTCGTTTAACAAACGCCTCGGTTAACGAACTGCCTTCCATAAGGATCTTCAATTCGGTTAACGAATTTCTTTAGAACTGACCTCAACATGTTTTCGCTTGCACTGACCGGGCACAACCAGCTTTAGTATCAGTCCGCCAATACATTAATCGGTTCTGGGGCTTAAATTCCTTACTATTTTAGTAAATATCAAGAAGTTTATACTATTCAATAATTTTAAAAGTTTAATATTCAATTTTTTGTCATTTTAATACTGAACATAATTGAAGGTAAAGTGACTAGTTTAATGCGAGCATCCAGCCTCTTAACACAGCAAACAGGAGTTAGTCTCTCTGTTTTCACTGGAGGTAACATCTTGCTTGAGACTCTCTTCAACTAAACGCTTTTTCTGTGTTTCCAAGCAAATTATTGGTCATTTTGAAATATATTTTACGTATTGACAATATATATATGCAGTGCAGTGTTGATTTAAATAATCTTGAAATACACCAAGAACTAAATTTTATGGGTGAAATGGTTGCCATGGGGTGACTTCTCTTCCACCCCAATGACTTCTCTTCTTCCTTCTCCTCCACCCCATTCTAATTACCATCATCATCATCATCATCATCATCATCATCATCCAGGAGCCTTCTACATACACCTCAAAGTAAGTGAACTTTCTACCATTTTGTTGAATTTAGAAATTTTTGGTGAGCTGGAACCAATTACCAAAAACCCATTGAAACAATGGTTTCGGTTCTGGCATTACCATTAACGAACGACCTTCTGGAACGGATTGAGTTCACTAAATGAGGGGTCACTGTATACTAATCATGGTACAGAAAACAAAACAAAACATATGTATCTCTCACCAGTATGCCTTTGGGTTCCAGTCCTGGCCCAGACACATGTGAGAAGGGTCAGACTAATTACCCAAATGTACCCAAATGTACCCAAATATAGCCGGAATGAAGTCAAATAATGGTCCTAGATGAATAAATCGGACTGCAATCACTTCTCGACTAGTATTTGCTGTCAGAAAGTCACAAACAATTGGAAAACTTACTTTAATCTGAGTTAATAGATCGAGTGCATGTACCGACGGAGTGAGGAATTACCCAAATGTAGCTGAAATGAAGTCAAATGATGGTTGTACAAGCGTAATTCGGGCTGTGAATCACTTCTCGATTATTATTTGGTGTCAGAACGTCACAAAAAATTGGTAAACTTAATTTAATCTGAGTTAATAGATCAAGTGCATGTACCTAACCTAACCTAACCTAACCTAACCTAACCTAATCTAATCTACTAACCTACTAACTCTAACCTAACCTAACCTAACTTCTTCTTCTTAACCTAACCTAACCTAACCTAACCTAACCTTAACCTAACCTAACACAACTCAGATTAAATTAAGTTTAAAAATTTTTTTTACTTTGACGCAAATAATAATCGAGAAGTGATTCACAGCCCGAATTACGCTTGTACGACCATCATTTGACTTCACTGCGGCTACATTTGGGTAATTCTCGCTCCGTCGGTACATGCACTCGATCCTAACTCAGATTAAAGTAAGTTTTCCAATTTTTTGTGACTTTCTGACAGCAAATACTAGTCGAGAAGTGATTAGCAGTCCGATTTATTCTTGTAGGACCATTATTTGACTTCATTCCGGCTACATTTGGGTAATTAGTCGGACCGCGTGAGAAGGGTGTTACTCAGTGTGTCTCAATCACAGGTTTTCTCCTGTATTAACACTGGACAATAAGTTCATGACAAAAAAACGGACCAACTGCCCGAACGGCTAGCAAGCCTGATAAGTGGAGAAATTATAAATTATAATGGCAAAAGAGGAATTTTCAGACGAAACTCCTGATGTGACAACCGAACTGTCAAAATTTCAATAAGGACAAGCAGTAACAACAGCCTTGCATCAGCCAAGAGAAACACACTCAATAACACGATAGTTATACTCCTTGAAATAAAACCATCAAATGGTATGGTAGTGTCCTTTAACGAAAATTTAAATAACAAAATAAACCTCCAAAGAAGCAACTGACCATAATTATGCGACCACTACACTTTGCTGACGTCGTCTGCTTCACACGAGTGACACGACCAAGGAAATTAAAATAAGGAATTCAACTCCGCTTAAATCCTATTATATTCTTCGTGGCTTCCGATTGACGCGCCATCTATGAAGGGTGCGACGTCATAAAGAACGTTTTGGTATTACATGAGTAAACTTTTACTTGTTTTACTTTTATCCTCTTCGCCACTGATCGGCTCGTTAGCCGCTTGGGCGATCGGTCACGTCTCTGATTACTTTTCCTTTTCATTAATCATCTTCACCAAAAGATCGGCTCGTCCCGGGCAATCGGTTGTGAGGTTATGAGATATTGGTTCACACTCAGGATGGGATGGAGAAAGGAAACTCACAATGTGCTCACTGTATACATATTGTATTGGATGTACAATGCAGCTTGTTGCTGGGTAGGTACTAGGTAGTATGGTAAACGTTGAGTAGAGAGCTTTGGGTGGTGGTGCCCAGAGTGAGGGCACGCGGCTGGGGACCTAAGGTCGCTGGCTGGCGCGGAGGAGAGTATTGCTTGCTGATGGCACTGGGTAGAAAGAGGCTGGTCACAACGGTGTCAGGCCTTATAAGGAGGGGGTAGGCGTGGGTGAATAGTTGACCCCCGCTCCGTGGGCGGCGCTGGAGGCGTAGGCTGGGGAATTCGAGAAGGTTCGGTGCTTGTAGGGGAGGACTCCACTACACGATCACGTCTCTGGCACGCACTGTTGGCAAATACTGGGCATGCACCGGCTCCTGAATGTACCTGAACCCGCTCCAGTGTTGGTCAAGTCTTGTCTTGAAAGAGCTCACACTCGGTGCCGTCACAACACTCTCTGGTAGATTTTCAGAGTTTACAACCCTCACTCCGAAAAAGTTTGACCTCACAGTTTTCTGTACTTGCGGCTTCTTCAATCTTGAGCTGTGACCCCTTGTGGGGCAGGCGTCCGCCAGCTCAAAATAGGACACTCGACTGAGTAGTGCCCCGTGAGATGCTTATACACCTCAACTACTGTAGGTCCCCCCTTGCCCGTCTGTAGTATAATGGGCAAGTTCAGGCGCTCCAGTCTCTCAGGGTAGCTAAGGTGCCAAAGTGCAGGCACCAGTCTCGTGGCCCTCTTTTGAACATTTTCAACCAACTGACAGTCCCTAGCATATCTCGGGGACTAGATGGGGTGACAATACTCCAGATGGGGAAACACTTCACTCCTGAAGATCGTTACGAGGGACGGACCGTCTAGATATCTAAACGACCTTCTTTAAGACCCAGTAGTTTATTTGCCTGATTTACCTTCTTCTCGCAATGGCCCGAGAACTTCAGTTCATTGTCAACATACACACCTAGGTCCTTCTCACATTCAGTCTGAACTAGTGCAGTGTCTTCATCCCGTTGGGACATATGATATGCCTCCTTACCGTTGGTACGCCCCAGGTGCATCCCCTTACACTTCGTGACATTGAATCTCAGCAGCCATTTCTTCGACCATTCCTGGAGCCCACCGAAATAACTTGGCGTCATCGGCAAACATTTGTATGGAGGAGTGTACAACGTCAGGCATGTCATTTATGAAACAAACAAACAGCGGGCCCAATACACTGCCCTGTGGTACCCCGCTTGTGACAGGTACAGATGACGATTTCGTGCCATTAATCACCACACACTGCTTGCGGTCATGTAGAAAGTCTTCTATCCACGCTAGAACATTTCCCCGAAATTTGTACCCTTCCAGTTTGATTTTCAGCCTTTCGTGGGGTACACTGTCGAAAGCCTTGGCAAAATCTAGGTAAATAGTGTCGATATTACCACCCCGTTCCAGAATATGGGTCCAAATATCCAATACCTTGAGCAATTGTTAAGCTAGGATTCAGTTCACGCGTTAGCATTAGCGCCAAAAATAGGTCACATTGAAATGTACACGGTTGTTTCCATTGCCACGATTGCTTTAACGTTATGCGTTTGCAGTACCTGTTAATCGCTCCCTGTAGTGGTTGGATGGAAACGGACGCGGAAATCCCACACTGTGACGTCACTATCCCCGAGTTTGCACTCCTCGGCAGTTGTAGCAATAGTAAATAAGACAAATTTTTTGACGAGAGGTACCGGTGTGGCCAGCATAAGGACAGAACTTGAGTACACTTGACTGCCGGACCCAGAGCTGTGAAGACCGCCACTCTCTGCTGCCATTGTTGGCCAACTTTCCTAATCGGACTGTAGTGTTAACGTTATGATGTCTCGCACTCAGGATGGATTGGAGAAAGAAAACTCTTAAATGGTGGTTTTCTTATATAACTATATTATATACAAACAGTCTGGTGCTGGGAAGTTGCTGCGTGGTAGAGGAGTTGCTGTGCAGGAGCTTCTTTAGAGGAGGTGTTTTGTGTTGCAGAGCTCTTGGTAGACTCGACTTCACGGCGAGACTGGGAGCTTATATACACGGCCACCGGAAGTAAGACCGGAAATAAGCGTCGCAGTCGCAGGTGGCCGACCCCGAGCCTAGATGACGGGAGCTTGTCAGAGAAACTCGCAGGTGAAAACGAACCCTATACGAGGTCTAGACGGTTAGGCTTGTGGTGAGAGTATCCACTACAGGACCATCCACCACTGACATCGTCGACAACATCTCACGAGCGTTTTCGGTTTATCGAGCATTAGCTTGCCCTCCCCATTGGTGGTGTGAGTGATCCACACTCCAGCTGGAGAGCAGCTATAGTGTGATATTCCCTACGTGGTTTGAGCTCTTTTCCTTCTACTGCTATTTTTCTTCTTTCACTCTGGCCTAGGGACCTGCACCCTCAAAAGTGTATTCGTCCTGCAGTCCCCCCTGTAACTGTTCACTTCCCTCCCAGGAGATTGTGAACACGAAAGGGGGTTGGAGCAAGAACTCACTCCAGCCGAGTCTTTCCAGGAAAACCGTGATCGTGCGGGTCCACCTGGAAAGAGGGTAGCAATCCTCATCCTTACCCAATAGGCACACTTAGCTCACGTCTATAAGTGAGCAGTCACATACACTAGGAAGTAGGTTTCCCCAACGGGGCTCCGGGAGGGAAGCTCAGGAACCACTCTACAACCACCCGGCCATCAAGTGCCTGTGGGGAGTGTTGAAATTCCTCTGCTACTTACTCAACCGGAATAGGTAAGCTCTGAAAAAAAAAACTCCAAAGAAGAAGAAAACACCACTTAACCACCGGTTATGGAGTGCGTACGCCCTCCTAACCGCGACCCCCGCCTGAACCACCAACCCGACGACCCGAGCCACGACAGGCTCCGCACAGAGAAAGCGGACCAGCTGCGGGCCTTCCACGAAACCCTGAAAAGTAAGAACAACGTCATCCTCACCACTGCCACCGCCCCCAACAACTCCACCACCACTGTTACCGCCACTGAGGACGACAACTGGACGAAGGTTGAAAACAAAAAACGCCGACGTGCTTTTTCGGGAAACGAATGCCGTCAAGCAGCCCAAAAGGCACCCATCACCACCACCAGCTCACCCCGAACGACACTGCCAAAATTCCGGATCTCGAAAACGGACACGAAAACGACATATGCCGCCAGAGATGGAGAAACTAAATCCACTGGCCAAGTTCTCAGTGCGGCCCAACCTAAAGGGGGAGATGATTATTCACCCCAAAGACAAGGACTCCGCCACCACCCTCGACACTTACCTGAAAAACACCACCACCGTTGCATCAACCAAGCTGGACCCCGCCCAGAAACTGATGAAGTCGGTAGTCCTCCGGTACCCAAAGGGGCTACCCCTCGAACCCCTGGAGAACCACCCGAAGATCCTAAAAGCCGAGAGATGCTCTCCCCCGTCCGACAAGACGGCCACCACAAAACAAGTGCTCATAACGCACTACGGTTCACCCCCCAGCACCATAGACCTCAAAACCTGGGGGATCTACGAAGTGAGGCCCTTCGTCCCAGAGCCCCTGCGGTGCTTCAGATGCCAGAAATACGGGCACCATCAGACAAGGTGCACGTACAAGGAAATCTGCGCAGTCTGCGCACAGAAGCACGGCACACACTCCTGCCTCACCAAGTTGAAAAATGGGGAAAAAATTGCCCCCAAGTGTGCCAACTGCGGGGGCAAACACCACGCCTGGAACCCTGGATGCTCCGAGAGGACAAAGAGGGTCCAGGCAAACCGACCAGCAGCAAGACCGGCCCCCACCGCCTGCACACCAGCCCCACCAAGTACCTTCGTGTGGGGAACCCAAAGGCCAAAACAACAAAGCCAACCCCCTCAGCCGGTCAACACCCAAAGTGCAGCCCAGTTTCCTGGCCTCACTACGGCCACACCTCAGCCACCCAAGCAGCAGACAACGACAACCACGAAAAAGATAAAACAAGCACACACCAAGGCACCAGAAGGAATGATACACGTATTAGACCTAGCCAAGGTACTGACAACCTTAGCGGAGGGCCTAGCTGGGCTACTGAGCCACAAGATCCAGCCTACACAGCTCCAAATAATCATGGGGAGCGTCCTCGGGCAAGTCGCCACAGCTCCAGCCACCTCAGTGGAGGAAGCCACGCCGGTCCCCACACGAGTGACAGCCGAGGTACACTCTACACCGAAGAGGGCCACCAGAGAACCCAAGATACCGACAGCTCCCAGAAAGAAATTGGACGTTTCAGCTCCCCTGAACCGAACCACGGCCCAGAAGGCAAAAACCACCACAGAACAAGAAGAAATGAATCTGATCCGGTCGGAATCAGACCTGAACATATCCATCGAGGACTACCAGAAGTCCCTGATGAAACAGTGGTGGAAAACATCAGCACCCTGAACATCCTTTCATTGAAGGCTCAGGGCATCAAAAACAAGAAACACCTCCTGCAAGAAGCAGCAGCCAAGGACAAGCTTGACATCATACTGCTACAAGACACACTTCTACAAGAACACCACTGTTTCAAATTCCGTGGTTACAAGACATACAGGAGGCATTTCGCGCAGGCGTTGACAAGAGGATGTATGATCTTGGTCAAGTCAAGCATACCCTCCTCCGAGGTCACGCAGCAATTGCCATGTGGGGAAGGGGAAAACATTGAGACACAGGCCGTCAAAGTAACCCTCCAAGAACGGGAAATAACTGTCCACAACATCTACAAGAACCCA